ACTCACAACCCACGCAAGCTAGATAATAACACACAGCTGCAATTCCAGATTTTCAAACAGAGATGGCGACAAAGAGGCAAAGCTTACGGACTGCAGCTTTAAACTTTCTAGTTAATTCGTTGCTTTCAGCCTGGCTCAAAACAAAAAGCTAGGAAAGTGCAAAGGATGTCCTTTGATTATAGTTTGAACAAATGCCATAACATCAATATTAAATGTATATATATATATATATATATATATATATAAACATCAGAAAACATTTTTAAAGAACATTCTTTCTGCGTGATCAGACACTTGATGGCCATAGCAAATAGCATATTTTGTAGGCTGTCCGCATGATCTCTGCAGAGTCACTGCCACCAGCACATGAACAGAAGGTTTTCTTCTGTCTCTCCCTGTCTGCTTTCCCTTCAGACTGTTAAAGAGCAATAGTGATTTTGCAAGAGACTTCTTTAATAATGCAACCCAGGCGATTTGAACACCTCAGCTGTAAATCCCTCTAATAATATTGAAGCTCAGTTGTATTTTATTTTAAAAGCTGGCCCACTTTTACCTTCTACCCTAAATTACCACATGCAGCATTTCACAGAAACAGGTCGGGGCCCTTGGACATTTAAGGCGAAATGATTTGAATTAATAGTACTGTTTGCTGGTATCAAGCCCGAGGGATAAACTGCAGGTCAATGGGTTTGGAGGGAATGAGCAGGGTTCTGGTTTTGGGCTGTATGGATGGGGCTCCTTCCTCCGTTCTGATCTCATAATGTTGCATCAGCTGTGGGGTAAAAGTGTGAAGGGTTAAATGAATGAGAGCGAGAGAAATAACGATAACGGTAACTGAAATTTAAACATCAACTTCAAATTAGATATTAAGCGAGAAGTTTGGACACACGTGACTAAATGTATTTCTTATACAACAGACTGAAATCTTATTAAAAATCATTACAACTTTTTGATTTAAACGTTTCTTTAAAGTTAAAGAAAACTAGTATTAGAGACAAATCCAAATTTTGCCAACATGAATTTCTTTAACAAATCTAAATCGTCATATTTTTTAATATTACATTTCACTAGTGTTAATTTATTCATCAGTACATAAGTCCCATACTTTAATGTTATGATATTTCATATTTTTTAATGACGTTTATTCTAAAATGTGTAAAATATTAATAATAAAGAATGAGTAGGGGTGTCCATACTTTTAACTGGTCAACTGCAGACTAGGAAAGAACAAAGAAAGCTAAAGCAATAGGCCTGGGTATTGACACAGACCTTACAAATCAATTAGAATCCAATTTACAAGCTTTTAAATGGATTTTGATCAGATTCTATATAGATTAATTTGTAATTTTTTTTTCTTAAGATAAACAATCTCAACTAATGCTGTAAATTATACAAGGAACCCTGTAAGTTGGTACATTACTATAAAATTAATGTCAAGTGAGTCCAAATTCAACTGGTGTTTATTTTTAGATATAATAATCAACACTCAAATAAACAGTCAACACTCAAACCGAGTTGTAATCAAACATTTAAAGTGTACATAAGGAGTTTTTATATGAACTAGGGCTGTCGCGATACGTCGATTCTATTCGATTTTTAACTTGATTCTAGTGGACTCTAAACGTTGCATTTATTTAATGTGAAAACTGTTGGGGTTAATTGAAACAGATTTTTTCCCCCTTTGTATTTGCACTCACAGCTGTAATGCCCAGAACATGTGGATATATTGACATTAAGAACATGCTGACTTTCTCAGACTTTTGTAATTATTTTCTTTTTATTTCATTTTTATTAGGTTTGTTTATATTTTTACTCTTTTAGTTTTACATTTCGTCAATGGCTTGTTTACATTTATACTTTTTTATGGTACACTACTGAATGGCAAAGTTGCAAGTTTAATAAAATGTTCTTTAAAATTGTTGTTGAGTTTTTTGTGGGAAATTAATCGTTTAGATTAATCGATAAATTAGTCGATAGATTAATCGAAATAAAAATAGTCGATAGTGGCATCCCTAATATGAACCTTGTTTCTACTCTACTTAATAAAAATTTAAAAAAATTAAAAAACATTTAAATGGTGGCTGTTATAAAAACTTGTTTTAATGTCAAATTTATTCAAATATACAATAAATAAGACATCACTGTGCATGAATATGTAATATAGTGCATTTATTTAGCAAAATTTTAATCATAGTTATTTTTTCTAGGTAACTATTGAGCTAAGGACATTGAATTGTTTTCCTGAGATAAATGTCACGTTACATGGCATTGTTTACATAGACGTCTTGCCGCTGTTGAAACACTGATTGAGCAATTACGTGAAACATGATACATTTTAGTGAGTTGTACTGTAACATTCAACATACTGTACCTTCTGGTTCTCATTCCTGTTTATTTAATACTAAAACTAGTACTAAAGAGGATTAATTATCAGGTTCACTTGCTTGTTTGAACTGACTTTTCTTATATATCAAAAGTAACAAAGCTTATTGTGATTATTGGATGGCAGGTGAGCTACAAATAATGTTTAGTGAAGTATTGTTCACGCATAGACTGAAAGGTCGATTTTGGAATCTGGGGATCAAAATGATGATTGATTAAAAATGACTAATCAATATTGTCATCCAGGAAAATAATGTGATATTGATTTTTTTCCTTTGGTTTTGTTCTTGGTCTAACAGACTATTTAGACTATTGGGTGTGAAACTGAACTTGCAGATAGTGTGGAAGCGTCATACTTACTCTGCTTAGGGCAAAGTACATCTCCAGCTCTGCGACCCTCTTCCCCACACAGGCCCGAACACCAACCCCAAACGGGACAGAACTGTAGGGGTGATGCCGAGAGCGAGACGGGCTGTCTCTCAACCAGCGGTCTGGAACAAAACGCTCCGGTTCAGGGAAATTACTCTCATCGTGACTAACAGCGTAATGACAGAGATGGAACTGTGTCTGTGAAGAGAGAGTGAAAACTGGAAGTTAGGCTAATAGATGTTTAATTACTTTATTAGATGTTTCAACAGAATATTTTGAGCTGTGCGCGTGTCTTTGTAGTTACCTTCTTAGGGAACCAATAATTATCCACAATTACTTCCGAATCCACAGTCAGTCGTCCATTACCAGGAACAACAGGATACATCCTATGATTAAAAAGCAGCATATTGTGAGAAAATGTATTTTAATTGATCAGGAACTTCTAAAGTGCAGTCAAAGGTACCAAAGAAACAAATCTTGAAATATGTAACCTGAGTCTCTAAACACAGTGGATAATTTTTATGAATAATATTTTTATTTTATTTTTATTATCTTTCACTTGGATGTTATAAGTTGCACTGAGTAAATACAGCTGGATAAAACAAAAATTTTGTCTGTTTTCATTTAAGGCTGCAACAAAATGTGATTATTTTAAGGGCGTGATTCTTTTCTATACACACTGTATGGAAGAATAGGGCAGCACCAACTGAACTGTACTGGACCTGACAGGAAACTTACAGCTCGGTAGTGGTTGACCGATATATGAGCCAATATTTTGGCCAAGTCGGAACTGTTTCCTCAGTTCAGTGTACTGCTGTGTGAGTGCTGAATGAGTTGGCAAACATAGGATCATATACACCAATATTTTGGCTCATTTTGAGTCGGAGTGACTGTCAGGCACATCCAAAAGTGAGATTTGACTGAGTAACTTGTAGATCTGTGCTGCTCGAGCTGCAAACTGTTTCAGATGGTTCAGTCCAATTTAGCTCACCAAGAAGAACCGTTTTTTAAATTTTGCTATTGGGGCAAATGGGAAGACAAAAATAACGTTTGTTTATTTCATTCACCACTACAGAAGTTTACCCAACTTTGACTTCCACTTCTGAGAACCCCGGAAATGTGAAAAGGGTCATTATTGACATTGGCTGATAAGATTTTCTCTTTATCTTGTTTATCGGAAATTGAACTTTTTTAATATGATATTAAAGGTGCAATAGGTGATTGTCTTCAGAAACATTTTTTGTTATGCTGGTTGAAAGTCTCTTCACATCCCGATAGCAATCATTAAGTTAAGTGGTCTCTGTTACAATACTATATTTGCGATTTCAGCTACAAACCACAACTAATCCAAAACAGAACACAAGTTCACTGCAAGTTCATTGTTTCTCCAGAAGAAATCTGCATGTTTATTCACTGTAGAGGACATTATTGATGTGAGTTGGACTGTTTAAATAAGAACTGAGCAAAGGTTATTGTGCCCAGTCTAAAATGAGTGAGGATTGAAACCCCTTTCAAGATAAAAAAAAAAGTGTTTGGGGGTGGACTAGAATGGATTTCCCTCACCTGAGAGTTTCTTTGATGACAGCCTTCATGTAGGGCATCCTTGTCAGGTGTTCTGTGGTCGGCAGCTCTTTATTCGGACACACAGATGCAATCTCATTATAGAGGCGGTTCTGTACTTCTGCATTACGTGCAAGGTGGTACAAGGTCCATGATAATGTGTTGGACGTCTTTCAAGGACAAAGAAAACAGAAAAAATGCATTTACAGATGTCATCTGATCTCATCATACAGACACTTGATTGGCAAAGTTAACAGCTATGCGTTGCAGAAACAGGTTAAGACATTAGCAAAGAATGCTGCTTAGCAGGTCATCGACCCTGTGTGTTGCTAAACGCGGGACACAATTTTAGCCAAACGCTCTGGAGATCTGATAAACGGTGGCCTTGACAGGCCCTGAGAGACCTTGATAGACTTTTACACAGAGATTAGGAACATAGTACAGCATGTTAAAGGTTACTAATAATATAGTATCAGTTAGGGATGGATCAGCAAGTTCTGTCTGTGAAACAATAGTGGGACATGTTTAAAGTTAATGTGGTGAATTACATAAGTGGTTATCCCGCTAGGACACCTGTGTAAACTCACCTTGACCACAGCTGATTAAAAGTAACTACAAGGATGGGTCAGAAATTGAAGGTTGTGTTTGCGGATGCCACTTGTTGCACTAAAATTTTCTAATGCAATACAATCGCATCCATTTTTAGTTATATTACTGTGTATATATACTGTATGTACACTGTGTATATATATATGTAGTCTATTTATTAGTGAAATATCTGTTCACATCTGTACACAGGAAGACATGCTTTTGGTCATTAGAATTTTAGCAGAGAGAAATTTTGGTCATGATCATTCCATTTTTATAAAGGTGCATCAAATAAAGCAATAAGCCCCAAGAAGCCGTGGTTTACAGTGAATTTATAACAGCTAAGGGGCGTTGTTAGGCACCTAAAACCCCCTTAGCTGTTATAAATTCACTGTAAACCATGGCTTCACAGGGCTTATTGCTTTTATGAAACGGTTATTCCATATACGTAGTAAGGTTTCACAAAATAAAACAGAGCAAATAAAGTGTAATGATATGAATAAAAACATTATTCTTCCACCAATCAATGTAGTTCCTCAGAATCAGTTGTGGTTGCAACAAAGTGGTTGCCGAGCAACACACAAACGTAAACAAAGGTGTATGTTTGTAGAGTAATTTACAACAGCTTCGAACGTGGCTCAGCCAATCAAAATCAAGGACCGGAACTATCCGTTTTATAATTAAAAACAGCTCTGCTTTTTTGAAAATGTTTGAGAAAGGTAAGTGGTTCAACGGATCATAAAACTCACGGTTCGGTTCATATTGCGGTTTTTGAGTCACAGATCAGATCATTTTTTGGATCATCAAGAAAAAAAAGTTATATCAGTGTAACTGCTTTCCTTTTATTACTTAAAGCACACTTTAAGTAATTCTTCAATACCAAAGCAAAAACTACTAGCCTGACTAGGAAAGTTAAAGGCAAGTGAACAGTCAGTAAAAAAAAATAAAAAAAGATCAAATACACAAATGACAAGAGTAGTAAAATACAATATAACAAAGTTACAAATAAAATAAAGTCTAACACTAGTATTCAGGTGTAGAAATATGTAAAATAACACTGCATAGTGTTCACTGTATAAAATTAAATACAGATTAATCTTTGTTAAAGCTATGTTTTGTTGTTTGATCAGTCCTTTTAAGACCTGATGCATGGATCCAATATAATGATACAAATTCAATTTCTTTCTCAGACAATTTTATGTGTATGTGTATGTGTCTGTTCAAGAAGATGCAAAAGAGGAATCAACTCGGTGTTCTAAAGCGTGCCTCTGTGTGTGTGCGGCTGTGCGCACAGAGAACAGTGTGCGAGTACCGAATTGAGTTCTTCTTTCACCTCTTCTTGTGCTGGAATGGTTTCAAATTGTTTGAATGTGTAAATTGGCAAGACAGAACATGTGCAAATGATAAACTTTCACTTTATGAGGGTTACATTTTCCAATGAATTTACGAATCACATGCATTCTGAAACGTGGGGCCTGGTCCGTATGGATCACGTATCAACTACGATCTGTTTAACCCTTGTTATAGTGTACTTATTTTCACAAGGGAAATATCAATTCGGGATGCAACAATTTTAAAATTCTGGTATCATTAATAAATAGTTTCAAAAAACTGTTTCAAATTTACGCCTGTGTGTTTCTCTCGTGTTCCTTCCTTTCACAGGAACTTAATTTCTCTCTCGTTTTCTGCAGGTACATTTAGAAAACACCCACTTGTCAAAACAACTGAACCAGTGGTGCAGGATATTGTTAATGGAACATGTTTAATTTCTGACTAACAGCAAATCATATTGCTTAACCTACTTCCTCTTCGACTGGTTCCAGATGAAAACAAACATGTTCTTACCGTATCCACACCTCCCAGCAGAAGTTCAGTCAGGCTGATGTACACCTCTCCTAAGCTGAGTTTATTGCTGGACAGCAGGTAGGTGAGATACATGCCCTCCACCTGCTCTCCACGCTCAACCTGATCATGTATCTGCTTCACCTTCCTATCAATCAGACGACGGGCTGGACAAAAGTACAAGAGACACAGACAGAAAAGACAATCAGTTATACTGATGTTTCACAAGCAGATTTATAGCCAGCAACTCTATGACTATGTGTGCCGACATAGAAATTAGATATAGACAGATAGATAAGATACTCAGTCAAAAGTTTGGAATAATCAGTATTTTTTGTTTCTGAAGGAAGCTTCTTATGCTTACCAAGGCTGCATTTGTTTGATCAAGAATACAATAAAATCATGAAAAAACAGTAATATTATGACATTTAAAAAAATTGTTTTCTCTAAAAAATATTTTCTCTAAAACACTGTTTTCTCTTTGAATATATTTTAAAATGTAATTTATTCCTGATGCCAAGCTGAATTTCAGCAACATTACTCCAGACTTCAGTGTTACATTATCCTTCAGAAAACGTTCTTATATTCTGATTTGCTGCTCAAAAACATTTCTTATTATTAACATAAAAATAATAAAACAGTTGTGCTTTTTTATTTTAATGTTTGTGGAAAATGTGATGCACTACCATTCAAAAGTTTGGGGTGAGATTTTTTATAGAAATTCATATTTTAATTTCACCAAGGATGCATTAAATTGATCAAAGGTGACAGTAAAGACATTTGTAATATTTTAAACAAATTATATTTCAAATACATGCTGTTCTTTTAAACTTTCCATTTGCCAAATAAACTGTGAAACAAATAAATGTATCATGGTTTCCACAAAAATATTGAGCAGAAATTTTTTCAACATTGATAATAATTAAAACCGTTGAGCACCAAATCTGCATATAAGAATGATTTGTTATAGGATCATGAGACACTGATAACTGGGGTAATGGCTCCTGAAAAGTCAGCTTTGCCATCACAGGAATAAATTGCATTTTAAAATATATTAAAATAGAAAACTTTTTTTTTTTATTGCAATAATATTTTAGAATTGTACTGTTTTACTGTATTTTTTAATCAAATAAATGCTGCTTTGGTGAGCATAAGAGACTGATTTTACAAACATTAACCATTTTAATTATTCAAAACTTGTCAAATAATTAAATGAGCGTGCACAATTAAATATTGGCCAATATGAATCCAATAATGACAAATAAAAAAAATCACTAATAACCAATATGGTAATGATATATTGTGCGTCCCTAATGCAGACATTGAACTTTAGCATACCTACGTCATACAAGTCATCCCATGCCTGGACAAACCGTTTCCAGAACGGGAAGATATGACGAGTCCAGCGCGGGAAAAAAAGAACCGTCTCTGACAGCGCCAACATGTCATTAACGGCAGATATGAACCGCAGAGTGTCTGTGGGAATTTCCTCCTGTAAACAGCCTAACCGTGTTTCGAACAGGATCGAGGAGATTCCTGAACAGCGGGAAAGAAAAACCACAGTCAAAATAAATCTACTAGACTACAAAAGAGTATGGTGCTGTTTGTTCAAACATCACTGCGAATAGCTCCAGGATATTGTAACCATTCTGTATCCATACACACCCTCAAAGCCAAATTTGTAGAGCTCAGAGGTGAGGTCATTGATGGTGGCCTGGTCTTGACTGCGCAGACGCAGGAGTTCCACACGCTGTAGGAGATCAGACACAACCTCGTGAATGATGGGAGCATATGCTGCTGCTTCCTTCAGTTTAAGCATCTTAGGGTTCAGAGCACTGCGGATGCGATACCACTCAGGGCCTGTACTGAAAAACGCAGGGAAAAAAGAGACTAAATTGGTGATTTTATCAAAAATTGGCATTAGCATCCAAACGTTTTTAAATGAAGTCTCTTACTCTCACCAAGGCTGTATTTATTTGATCTGTAACACTTTACAATAAGGTTCATTAGTTAACATTAGTTAACTACTTTAGTTAACATGAACTAAGAATTAACAATACTTCTACAGCATTTATTAATCTTAGTTCATGTTAATTTTAACATTTACTAATGCATTATTAAAATCAAAAGTTGTGCTTGTTAACATTAGCTAATGCACTGTGAATTAACATGAACTAACAATAAACAACAATATTTTCATTAACTAACATTAACAAAGATTAATAACTACTGTTCATGTTAGTTAATACATTAACTAATGGAACCTTAATGTAAAGTGTTACCATTTCATCGATAATACAATTAAAACAGTAATACTGTGAAATATTATTGCAATTTAAAATAACTATTTTCTATTTTAAAGTATTTTAAAATGGCAAATGGCATTCCAAACCCATGTGACCTTCTTTCTTTCATGGAACACTAAAGGTGAAATTTTGAAGAAATTTCTTGCCAAACATTTCACTAACATATCAGTAAGTACTTTAAGGAAATGACTGGGGCTGTCAAACTCCAAAATGACAATCAATAAATCAAACCAAAATTCTGTTAATCTTGAGATCCACCATTCAAAAAGATTATCAGGGAATAATCTTACGTTTTGTACTGTTTGGCACACATTTTATTGCTTGGATGATGTGGTGTAAAGAGTCATTAAGGCTGCTTTCATCATACTTTTATGATGTTTTTGCATCCTCTTGAAGATTGAAAGCTCCAGTCTCTTTTTGTGTTCCATGTAAAAAATAAAGTCATACAGGTTTGGCAATACAGACTATGTGAAGGAGGGAAGTGCTTACTCTACATGAATTCCATATGCCTGTCCTCTCATGTCTCTGTATTCTTTCCAGTGAGGCAGATCAGTCCGCACTGGATACCGGCCCTCCTGTCGGATCACCTGTGCAATCAGTTCAGCCGTCGCCACATTTACCACATCAAACGGCCCAAAACGTGACCGCCAGATCGGACCATACAGCCGCGTATGCTCCACCTGCACAATAGATGTGAGGAAAAAATATCATTGTGTGTATTGCCAATTATTTATCACACACATTAGGCCATTTAGCTAATTACAATAAAGATAATAAAGGGACTCTCCTCCCTGGAGTAACCTACAGTTATATATGAGTTGTGTCATTGTGTGAAATGTTTGAATACCATCTCCCATTTTCGTTCAACGCAGTGGTTCTAAACTAGGGGGGGGCCAGGGCCCTCTAGAGGGCTGCAGCAATCTCCCAAGGGGGTATTTTAGCTGGATGCAATGGTTTAAAGTTAGAAATGTCTTAATGATGCATTTGTTTATTACAAACCAAAATTTAGTAGATCCATTGAGAGTGGCTTAATCTGAGTTTTGTGAAGAGACACGACCACTTTGTAACAGTGTCATGAACTTTTTTAATGGGTGTAGTTTTTTCCTCACCACCAGGGGTGTGCTCCCTGGGTGTGATAAAAGCTGAGGAAGTAGTAGAGTGAGCTAGAGGACAGCATGGTGTGCCTTACAATGTGTTCCTTCTCTGCCCTGAGAGACCATCCTTGTTGAGAAACTTAGTTGTTTGCTGCTCAATTGTAAGTAATGCTTGATTGTAACTACTAAATAGTTTATTCTGAATAGTTTTGACTTTCATGCTTATCTGTATACGTGAAAGGTAGTTCTGAGGCAATGGTTATTGTTCTTTGAGGTTGTCGTTCACACAACTTTTTAAGAGTGGGTTTTTTTCTGAATGTTTGTATTTTCTTTTGTAGAAGGATTTTTGTTTATGGGCTTCCTTTCCTTATTCATCGACTCATGCTATGGGAATAATGTGGAGGTGCCCTCATTGAAGAAGAGACTGATGTGCCAGGGCATATGGGACACTTCATACATGTGTCTGGACTTTATCACAAGTATCAGCATTCTTTCCAATGATAAGGCTTTCTGTGGTTTATTTTATTTTGGGTCATTGTTTGATTTCTACTATTGTTGTTTTTTCATTTTTTTCATTTTGTTTGTTTGGTCATTGTTTGTATTGATCTGATTTGAGAAGGTCTACCACAAATATGGGTTAATCATGTATGGTGTAAATGGAAAATTCTGAAGAATCGAGTCATTGACAAGTGTGGGCTTTGCATATGTTATGTTTCATAAAAACAAGAACTTAATCAACAAACAGGTTTGAGAAAAACTCTTTATTGATGTAGCTGAGTATATTGTGAAGTAATACAGTTTATCCCTCCTTCAAATATTTGTATAGCAGTTTTTTTTTGTATGAGAGATAGAGAATCGGTTATAGATGGCGCCCAAACAGGGACAAATCTGTATTTATTCTTAACTACTTTGATTTGCAAAATAAGAAATGGAAGACTTAAGTCCTGGTGAGAAGGATGAGAGCGTGCCCAACCCTGATTTTACAGCTGGCCCATTTGTGACTCGTAGAGAAGCTGTTAAAGAACTCATGCATACATTGAGTGAGCTGTATATTAATTCTGAAGAGGATGATTCCATTGCAGATGCAGACCCACCACCTCGTTCTACAATGCCTCTACCACCTGATGAAAGGGAGGAAGCTGACTTGAACTTGTCCCTACAGGCAGCAATAGAGGAGTTAAAAGGACGAGTTGTCATCCTGGAGAAATGCAGTGCAGACTGTATTCAGAAGGTGAGCCAGGGCTGTTCACAAGCAGATCTTGATGTTCAGTGTGGTTCTCTGGAGGAAAAGCTGGCCTATCACATCGAGAGAGAGTGTGACAGAGTTAAAAGAATCTTAGAACTGAGTATACAAGATTTGGGGATGTCTATGGTTGACTGTTTAAAAAGGAGAGATCTACAGATTGATAACAAGCTAAGATCCTGGGTACCAGGAACATCAACTCCAGTATCTAAATCCGCTCCTGAGCAGTACTCAACCATTACACGTCAAGGTGTGAGGAAGACCCATGACGTTCCATCATCGCAGCATCTTTTAGTTAACACTGAAACTGTACCTGCACCCACGTATCTTCCCCCTGTAAAAGTAGAGTTTCCCCATTTTGGAAGTGAGGCAGAGACTGATCCGGTGTCTTTTGTCGAGCGATGTGAAGAATATTTGGCCATTCGACCCCTGAGTGACTCTGAAATTCTCGCTGCTCTTACTTCAGTATTGAAAGGCAAAAGATTGGTGGTTAGCAGAGAAAAGAACTGTATTGACGTGGAACAAGTTTAAAGAAATCTTTCTTCGCTCATTTTTAAATGACGATTATGAAGCTGAAGCTGAAAGAAGGCTTCTGGAGAGGAAACAAGGGGCTAAGGAGCCATGCCAATTCTGAGCTGCAGAAGAAAAAGACTCCTAATGACAGAGACACCGTCCATAGGTCAACCCATGCTAACACCTGAGTAGTTCAGTCTGTTTTAATTCCCAGTCAGTCTGAATTGAAAATGGTGACTTTACCCATATTACTAAGAGGTCAATATTTTCAGGCTATGGTGGACACGGGGAGCACCCTGTCTCTAATTCAGGAGTCCTGCTGGAACCAGTTGAAAGGACAAGAGCAGTGGAATCCAAGCAAAGGACAGACATTTATGTTAGCCAATGGTCAAATGCATTCTTCCATAGGCATGTCTAACTGGGAATATGAGCTGCAAGGACAAAAACTAAAATTAACGTTGTATGTGTTAAGAGATTCAGATCTGACAGTACCAATAATTCTGGGTAGGGATTTCTTAACTTCGGCTGGGATTATGCTGGATTTCCGAAGGGCCCAACATGGCATAATATCCCAAGAGGAAAACGAGAGTGAGAAGTTTCCCCTTTTGCCAGCTAAGTCCTTTTCCAACTCCTTGGTGTCCTTTTATCTTGCTTTGCCTAGTGGAGAAGTATCATCAGAAGTCTCATTGGCTGTTCAACAGCTAGCACTCAAAGCTGATACCACCTCAGAGTTCCAGAGTCACTTAGAGAAGTTGATGAGTGAATGGCCTATGGTTTGCACAAATGAGGTAGACACTCTTCTGTAATCAAGCACTGCATCAACACTATAGATGAAGTTCCTCTCCGTAGGAGAGCCTACCGTGTATCTGTGGAGAAACAACAATTAATTGACAAAGAGGTTAAGGAGATGTTAGCCAATAATATAATTCAACCTTCCAACTCCCGATGGGCTTCTCCTGTTGTTATTGTTTCCAAGAAGGATGGTGGATCTAGGTTTTGTGTAGACTTTCGTGGACTGAACTCAAAAACTTATTTGGATGCTTATCCGATGCCCCAAATCCAGGATATTTTGGGATCTTTACATGGAGCAAGAATTTTCAGTACTTTAGATCTCAAAAGTGGATACTGGCAGGTGGAGTTGGAGCCAGAAAGCATACGTAAAACTGCTTTTGTGACATCTTCAGGGCTATTTGAGTTCTTACATCTACCTTTCGGCCTCAAAAATGCCGCAGCCTCCTTTCAGCGTTTAATGGAATGTGTACTGCGAGAAATCAAGGGAAAGTGCTGTTTGGTATATATAGAAGATATCGTAGTATACTCAAAGGATGAGAATGAACACCTGCTGCACCTCAGTCAAGTTTTCCGCTGCCTACATCAACTGGGCTGACTTTAAACTTTAAAAAGTGCAACATGATGCAAAGGTCTCTAACTTTTCTGGGCCATGTGATTTCAGGCGATGGCATTAAGACGGATCCTGCTAAGATAGCGTCAGTGAGTCAGTTTCCTGTGCCTCAATCTCTGAAAGATGTGCAACAGTTTTTAGGACTTGCTGGATGGTATCACATATTGTACCACGATTTTCAGAAAAAGCAGCCCCTCCATATGCTTTAAAAAAGAGGGGAGCCACTTGGGCTTGGACAGAATCCTGTCAAGAAGCATTTGAAACTATCAAGAATGATCTAACTCAAACCCCTGTCCTGATTCCCCCAGACTTTACCAAACAATTTAAGGTGCAGACAGATGCCAGTGAGAAAGGACTGGGAGCAGTTTTGACTCAAGACATAGAAGGAGAAGAGCACGTTATAGCTTATGCTTCACGCTTACTTCAGGGGGCTGAAAAAGCATACTCTGTGTCTGAGAAAGAGTGCTGTGCTGTGCTGTGCTGTTCTGTGGGTTGAGGGTAGAGGGTAGAACCTTCGAAGTTATAACTGATCACGCAGCATTGACTTGGGTTTTTAATCACCCCAAACCCTCATCAAGATTGACACGGTGGGCTTTACGGCTGCAGGAGTTCGAATTTACGGTTAGGTATCGGAAAGAACAATGCAATGTGGTCCCGGATACAAAAATCCCGAAGTCTGGAAGAAAATGCGATGGTGAACATGGTGAGGCAAGTGAAGTCTGCAAGTTCATTAGTAACACCCTCAAGCCTATCAGTGGATTGGGATGAAATTGCCAAAGCTCAGCAAGAAGATGCTGAAATAAAGGAACTAGTCGATAAGGCCCTTACTCAAACAGATATCGATCCATCAAGAATCCATTATGTTGTAAAGAATGGCTTTTTATTTCGCAGTGTCCCCGATGGACCGAGAGGGCAGAAATTTCAGTTGGTGGTACTAGAATGCTTGCGTAAAGACTTCTTGAAATATGCCCACGACAATCCTTTGAGTGGTCACTTTGGTCGGCTCAAAACCCTTCTGAGATTGGTGGATATGGTGTACTGGCCCAGTTTACACTCAGATGTTTGGAAGCACTGTAAAGAGTGTCCAGTGTGCCAGATGTATAAACCCTCTATATCCAAGTTGGCTGGTTACTTGAAGGGCTGTGCGATTTGGGGGAAAATATAAAATTGCGATTTTTTTGACAGATATTGCGATTGCGATTTGATTTGCGATTTTAAATTTGCAAAGTCAAGCTTCAGCTCAATATTGTCAATAATGTGCAGCACAGTATGGGTATCATTACCCTGCTGAAAAAAACAATAGAAACCATCACAGAAATTCTTATAGTTTCCATTAAACCATTACAAAATTCATTTTTGTTTTGGGCATTATTCCAATAGGAATTACTGCTGTTCTATTGGTTGCCATCTGCCAGATTACATCCCACCAATAGAATCCATCAAATAGACACCATTATAGTTTACATTAAAACCAAACAAATTCCCATTATAACCCTGAAATCCATAAATTTTTTTGTGTTTTAGGAGGGGTTCTATTGTTGTTGTTTTTGAAACCATCACAGAAATTCTTATAGTTTCCATTAAACCATTACAAAATTCCTTTTTGTTTTGGGCATTATTCCAATAGGAATTACTGTTGTTCTATTGGTTGCCATCTGCCAGATTACATCCCACCAATAGAATCCATCAAATAGACACCATTATAGTTTACATTAAAACCAATACAATTCCCATTATAACCCTGAATTCCATTACATTTTTTATTGTGTTTTGGGAGGGGTTTTATTGTTTTTTTTTTTCAGCAGGCAAGATTATAATGGTATAACTACTTTTACAGAATTAACTTAATTACTGAATTTCACAGAAAATATTTGTTTATTTTTTATAAATAAAGAACTATTTCTTAAGTCAATTATTAAAGTATTACATTGATTTATTCATTTTAAGTATTTGGGATTTTAAGAGCAAGTGGAAAATGTGCTGAATGTTTCATTTCATCCAAGTGAAATTAGCAAGCAGTTAGACTGAATTTACATTCGTTTTAAACGCGGAGCCAGGCGCGAGTCGACACAGGTTGCGCGCGTGCGTCAAGCCTCATCCATACTGCCAGATGCGCTCGTGGAGACTTGCGGTGCGGAGCCGGGTGCGAGTATGAACGAGCATTACGAGTCAGGCTGCGTGAGTGCGGCAAGCATGAACGGCTCGTCCGTGACGCGGGGTTCGCGCCGCGTGGGGCAGAGAGGAGCGAGTATGAGAAGCATTCAGAGACACAGGCTGTGTGTGCGCTCTTCTGAATTAGGAATAGCCAACATGCATTTGAACTTATTTTAAACTTATTTCAAATTAATCTGTTGGGGAGATAAAATGTGTAAGATAACGTTCACGTACTAACAAAAACATCTAAGAATGTATCTTTTATTCTCCAGTACTGAAAACAGAACCGATGCGGGAGCTTTTGATATGCGCTGTGACGCAGCTCTTGGAAATTACTTTTGTTCGTTGTCTGTCATTTCGAAGCTTAAGTTGCATACGTTTTTCTTTAGTTTTAATTTGCTTAACTATCGATCTGACCCAGTAGACGCCATAATCCCACTCTGTCTCTCACCCGTCCCGCGTTCCGGTTTTTTATTTATTAATTTTTTTTGGTGGGTGTTTACGCAGTTGGCTAGAGCAGTGCTGATTGGGGAGAACGGAGGTGCGCTCACTCTTGCCCAGGGCAAGTAAGACTGCAACTCAAGGCTGGCAGTCATGCATATGCTCTGGAACAGAGTAATATCGCGTCCACATCGCAGGCTTTGCGATTAGGAAATCGCAACGTCTCAAATCGCGATTTCGATTCGATTTCAATTAATCGCACAGCCCTAGTTACTTCCCACTTTGATTCTATACGCTGAATAAGAGCTCGTTCTTTTGACAGTAGCAAGTGTTTATTATAAGTAAAATTTGACAGAAAAATGATTTTTCCCGTTCGTTGTTAAGGTATGTTAAACCACGTTAAGCTGTTTCCTCGTAATGGACTTCTATGGGGGAGAAAATGCTTAACGTGATATTATTCACTTTATCTGTGGAGTAAGGGCTCGTTCTTTTGACAGTAGTTAGTGTTTATTACAAGTAAGGTTTGACAAAATTTGGGTTTCCCTGGTCATTGTTTACGTACGTTAAGCCACGTTAAGCGTTTTAGAATGTTCCTATCACAAGTATCAGCATTCTTTCCAATGATAAGGCTTTCTGTGGTTTCTTTTATTTTGGGTCATAGTTTGATTTCTACTATTGTTGTTTTTTTACTTTTTTCATTTTGTTTGTTTGGTCATTGTTTGTATTGATCTGATTTGAGAAGGTCTACCACAAATATGGGTTATTCATGTATAGTTTAAATGGAAATCTCTGAAGAATCGAGTCATTGACAAGTGTGGGCTTTGCATATGTTATGTTTCATAAAAACAAGAACTTAATCAACAAACAGGTTTGAGGAAAACTCTTTATTGATGTAGCTGAGTATATTATGAAGTAATACAGTTGATCCCTACTTCAAATATTTGTATAGCTGTTTTTTGTTTGAGAGATAGAGAATCAGTTATAGCTTTATATGATGAACAGATATAAACACACTCATAGAGCTTCCATGTTTACCATATATAATGTTCTCTATTTATGTGTGTCGATCATGGTTGAAACAAAAAGACAAGCTTAAAGGGGTCATATGATGCTTTTTTAAAGATCATTATTTTGTGTATTTGGTGTAACAGAATATGTTGACATCCTCTCCCCCTCTCTCTCTCTCGCGCTCTCTCTCTCTCTCTTGCTCGCTCTCTCTCTCTCGCTCTCTCTCGCACACACACACGATGCGCAAAACTCCGCATTTGAACAGTCAATAGCAAATACTTAACACTCCAAAGAGAAAGGAAAACTTGAAATCGCATCATATGACCCCTTTAAATGAAATCTGTTCATGATATAAAATGATCATATCTCTTCACAAGACTTGGATTAAACTGCTTGATTCATATGAATTTATTTTACGAAGACCTTTTTTGGATCTTCTAAGTTTTAAATACCTGGACATTCAATGGGACAAAGATTACCTAAAGTCTTACGGAACGACATGAGGGTAAGTAAATGATGACAGAATTAAAATTACTGGGTGAACTATCCCTTTAAAGCTGATTTATACATCAGTAGCAGCACCAAATGAAATCTGGTTTCACAAACACTCCCTCATCTTCCACTGGTTGACAAACAGTTGGACAAACTGCCCTGAAATAACACCATTAGTTAAATCAGAACTTGGCATGTCAAGTCCCTCAAACAAACAAAAGTGCTATTATGACAGAACAGCCTCCCAAGTTTTCTGATTGGCCAAATTGTGTGGGCCGCATTCAAATTCCTTTTGCCGTTTACAGGGGGTGACAAAGAGATAAGTGTGATTTGTATCAGGCAGTAGGGTCATTTTATCATTGGTAGCAT